TCCGGACCTCAAAGCTGCAAACTTTCTGCGCATGCGTCGCATCCACGCATGCGCACAGGTGTTAACGAGAGCGAGTAAGACCTTTACGGCTGCTAATATGTTTGTGTGCATGCGCATTTAATGTGTAACGGAGGTATAAGCTGAGCTAAAATTATCTGATTCAGTTAATGTTGCAGATTGCGTTGTTCCTTAATCTTGGAATTGGATCCAGCTTATTATTTTTTGCAGACTGTTAGAGCAATTTCATAAAAGTAAGCTTGAACTTCCGATTATGTCAAATAGAATGTCCGATATATATTTACTAATATGTAATTTGTATCTACAAAGTGAAAGTATGTTTTGAAATCCGAAATCTGTTTATCAATTTCACGCCGAGGATTGGAAGTTGATCTGTCAGCACTATCCTTATCTTCAGGGCAGATGTTTTTATTTTATTGGCTTATAATTCCTTACTAAGTGTAGTATTTTATCTCGATGTACTCCGTCTTTGATATGATTTAAATCAAGTTCCTCGTGATTATAATTCGCTTCCGATAGTGAAGAAATTGACCCAGAGGTTATTGAAAACGAAAACATTTCGATTGACAAGTAAGTCGGTATTCTCGGCACAGCAATTACGGGACTTGAACAGCGGAACTTTGTAACCGAACAAGAAATTATGTCTGTTTATAGAATTAAAGAAAAAGTATTATCACATACAACGAAGCAACTTAAACAACTTACATTGAAAGAAATGTTTAATAAAGTAAACAAATAAATATTAAGTTTTTTTTTTTTTTTTTTTGTAAATTTTGATACCCTTTAGATCATACTTGTTCTTTATTTCATAAATTACGGTTTCATATTTTTAATTTTATAATTTCTGCATGCCATTTTACCAGATTTAAACTGATGATCTATAATCCGAAAAAATCGATAATCCGGAATCGCCAAAGTCCCGACGAGTCCGGATTAACGACTTTTGACTGTATTTTCTTAGACAAGATTAAATTTTTTCTAATTCAGGAACACAAGATCTTCAGTTATTTTCTTAGAATTTAGTGTTTTGAAATGAAAAGTTCCTATTCCTGTAAATTTAAGACTCTGCCCATTCACAATTATGATATCTGAAGAATTTATGGATTGAAATTCTGTGAAATGTATCTTGTTATTTGTTGAATGATTACTGCCTTGCAAAAAACCACCTTCTGCCAACTGCTGGTAGTAGACAGAGTAGCAACATCACATTTGGAATCGATTTCCTGTGTTTTATTTATTTATTTATTGTTTTTGTTTTTGTTTCTTCCTAATTCATCATGTGGCTACCCGCATTTTTTGCTTGGCGAGTTTTAGAATCTGCATATGTTTTCTTGAAGTTCTAGGCATGGTTCACTCTTTTGTTTTGATTTTGGATAATACTTTCTGATCTAAAATTATTATTTTTGTGATGGTATGAAAAAAGTTTTTCTCACTTTGTTTTATTTTGAAATGAGGTCTTGAATGTCTTTGAATCAATTCATTGATTAATCCCCCCTTTTATGAACTCTGGCATTAGTTCTGTTTCTGATCTGGCTTCAAGCATTTCATATGAACTAGGCACTGAACAAAGCAAAAGTGCTGAAATGTTATCATCCTTTATGCTCTCGCATATTTCTTAAGCTTGTCAACTTACTCTAGTAGAATATTTATATGAGTTTAAATATCTCCATTTTCTTCAAGCTTCAAACTGTAAAACTTTCATAAAAGAAATAATTTACTTGAAAGGTTAGACCTTTCATGTACCAACCTAAGTTTTTCCCGGGTGGTTTTAACAGTCATTTTATATTTAATATGAATTATTTGGCTGTCTTTAATAAATAAATCTATGGTCGTGAGACATTGCCTATCGCGTTTTCCACTGTTCTGCAATAGGGCTTGGAGGTACATCAAGATGTTAATATAAGCAATCAGGAAATTATAATTACCACAAACGATAACCATACTCACAAATTATGTGGCTTGTGGCTTCACTTTTTTTTTTTTTTTTTTTTGTAGCGCATCTGTTGGCAATGTAAGAAACTTACTTTCCAGATGATCCTTGTGTTCATGCTCTTATCATCTTTTGCTATGGAATTCATTTTATGCTTACTTATTAAACCTGATATGTAAGCCTTTATATTATTTTGACAACTCCTTGTAGTATGATATTTTCTTTGTCAAGAATAGTAATGTCTATATGTTAGTCTTGCTATGTTAATGTGGTTTTCTGTGTTTTTAAAAGTTAATTTTAAATGCATTCTTGATAATCATTTTACATTCTCTGCTGCAGAGTTTTTTATGCTTTGTATTTTATTTGCTCAAACATTTTTTGTTTTGCTTTGAATGTTGAAGATGATTTTCATCTATATTTCATCAACAGTTTTATTAAATTAATTTCTCTCCTCCTGTAACTTCTTTAATTTTTTTTTTTTTTTCGCATGCAAAATTTTTTTGGTCAGTGACTTATTTTCTAAATGCTCTAAAATTATCATGGACTCTTCTTTGGAATTCTAAGAAATTGTACTTTTAAAATAAAAATGGAAATAATTTAGAATAAAAATTTTGGTATATCTTCTATATAAATAGTCACAAGTAATGACTTTAATATTAAAATTTCATAATTATGATTTAAGCACTTATACTCAAGCATAGTGATGCTCCAATGTATAATAAAATATCATGCTACTGCCTAAAACCAGTATACAGGGTGAATCTGAACAAGGTGGCAAAAATTTACAGGGTGATAAAATGCAGCTATACAAGCAAGATTCGTTATGGAATATATGGTCGGAATGCAAATGCTAAGAAGTTAAAAGATAGTTTTTAACTGAAATATTTAAAGAATTAACACAAGAATGAGCAGATATACTCTAGAAAACAGTTTATGAACAGAAATGTAATTGATGTACATGTTCAAAAGACCTTCTGCCAGCTGTAATGCAGGCTGCACGCTTGCACAATAGGGACTCGCGCACATTTGCGAAGACACCAGGCATTTACTGAGTATCGCCGGCAACAATGACGAACTGACAACTAGATCCGTATTCATTTCAATGGGGCATTCGTAGATTAGGCTTTTCATATGGCCCCACAGGAAAAAGTCCAAATAAGAGAGACCTGATGATCTTGGTGGCCAAATAATCGGACCACTTTGACCAGTCCATCACTCTGGAAATTTTATTTTTTTTCATATAACCAGCCATTGTTTAGGCAATCTGTGGTAGAAAATGACACTGGATGTTAAGACTGGCCCTGTTTATATCATTTACAATGCTACCTAGCAGTTTGCCGTTGCATTCCGCTCAAAATTTATATGATGAATATTTTTTGTGTAACTGGATTTTTATCACTCCAGTTTTGCCTCCTTGTTCAGATTCACCCCAAGAGAGAAGTCTATAAATGGTTAACTGTTTATATTCAGATTTCATGTACATCCAAAAGGCTAATTACTCATCAAAGTTTTTGCTGTTTTTATGTTAGATTATGCATTTTCATTTTATCTTAAATCTCAAAGGAACTTTCATACTAATATTATTTAAAATAAATAATTCTTTTTTTTTCTGCTTCCTTTTTATTATCATTATTATAGTTATTACAACATGTATTTTCTTTCTAGTCACTGGTTCTCTATGTTTTTTACCTAACCTTTCTAATTTTTTTTTCTTTCAAGTCATCCATTCCAAATAATATTAAAATTGAAAGTATTATATTTGATAAATGAAAGTAAAACATTACACTGCACTTACATGAGACTTGTTGTGGATCATTTCTTGATAAATATTTCCCACCACTGAAAAAAGAAGGGACTTTTTAGTCTGTTTTCTACTTATCTGGACATCAGTAGCGTGAAAATTATATGTTGCACCTTTTTCAGAGAAAGAATCATGTATTAGAACTTCTTTCATGTAACTTGGAAAGGATTTTATTAATTTTTTAGCTAGGGTCACATTAATTCTAGCACGCTGTAGCCTTTGTCCTGAGTTTTTTAAATCTATTGATTTAAGTTGAATAACTTTCCTGAAATGCTGATATTTTTTGCCCTTCTTTGTGAATTTCACTTACCTGGTTAGAAACTCCATTTGTAAACAGTGTAAGATTTTATGAAATAATAGGATGCATTATATAATAATGCAGTAGATGTTTTTATGTTTTCTAAAAATAAAAAGAAACAAAATTCAGAACAATTCTGACTGGGAGAGAAACTTGCCAGTGTGAAACTTAATAGGCAAAAATTGTTCAGATTTCCACCTGTCAGTAAAGTTAATTACTTGATTCTTGAAGATTCCATCTCTAATTTTAATGCTCAGGAATTTATGACATACCTCATCAGTGTGATTTGTGAATCAACTAAGATTTTACTTCAAAGAACATGAATGAACAATCTTGTGTTCAAAAAAGGAGAAGTAAACAAATCTTCCATAGCAGGTCAATGTTAGGGAACATAATCGCAATTTCAACTTGGGTTCTTCAAAAAATTATTCATAAAGCTTCCTCAGTTGATCAATTGGATTTCATTTTTTTAAAGCTTTTCACATTAAAAAAAATTTATATTCTGTAGTTAATGACATAAATTCCAATCTAGTTTTATCCCCAAGCCTTTCAGAATTCTAGTATATAAGTTTTTCATGTTTCACTGCTACTCTCCTCAGCAGATGGTGTTCCATTCATTTCTGCTTTGCTCTACCCATTGCTTTTGATATAAAATGGCTGTCATTCTTCCCATTTTTGAAAAAATATTTTTGTTTCGAAGTAGAGGAACTCATGTCCACTGCCCTTCAAAATTGATATAGTTGTATTCAAAATCTGTGCCAAACTAAGGTTGCTTTTTTGCTTAATTTTAAATACAGAAAAGTCTAGATTAATTAAATAAACTATCCACAATTAGAAGCATTATCAATTAATAAATGTTGCTATAGCTGTCTTGAATTGTAAAAAAAGAAAAAAAAATTAAATAATAAAGGTTTTAAAATTGATATCTTAAATGCTCTTTGATGTATTTTCAGATACTTCAGACTGGACAAGAAATAAATGAACTCGACCATAGTGGTTTTAGCACACAAGCGCCTACGATATTTGCCGGCAATCTTGGAAACAATCGTTTTATCGTTCAGGTTTCTCAGATGGGTGTTCGTCTTTTGTATGGTTCCCGTCAAGTGCAGCACATACCTTTAGATGCTGGATCACCTGTTGTGTGGGCATCTGTGGCAGATCCATATGTTGTTATCATGAGTGCAGAAGGTTTAGTCATACAGCTGATGTTAAGAGTAGATGATTTTGGCAGCAGTGCTAGACTTGCAGTATCCAGACCACAGCTGGCTCAAGTAGTATGTGAAAGTTAGCATTATAAATTTTTGAAAGCTGTGTATATGCACATGTTTTATGTATCCATGGTGCTTTTCCATTAAAGCTATGCCTTGTGCTCTTGACATTATATCAGTACATTTTGATTTATTTTGTGATTTATGATACTAGATACTTTTCTCAAAATTTACCTCCTTTCTACTAAATTTCTGTTAGTAATTTTCCCCTTGATTTATGTCGCATAGCTGCCAATTTTTACAATAAGAAAAACTATTAAACTTTTTTCAAGCTGATAAGCAATGTTAAATTTTTACAAGTTTTTGTCATTTTTTGTGGCATTAAAAATTATGCCAGTTTGGTGATTTGTTACCAAATTTATATTTTTAGCACCAACACTTGGTAGACATTTGGGTTACCATTTCACTTGGTCCTTTTATTTGTATAAAAAATGAGTTATTTCTTTCTAGGGATATGGATTCGTTTTCATGCATTACCAGGTTTGGCAAATTATCTTTTTTTTTTTTTTTTTTTTTTTTTTTTTTTTTTTGATTTTATGATTTGTGAAAAATGATTTTTTTCAATAAATAGTATTATTAAGATTTCATTAAAACAACAAGAGTGTAATAAAATTACATTTATTACACTTGAAAAAAGTAACATTAAAAGGAAACATTTTTATGTCCTGTTATATTTCAAAATATCACTTTTTTTCAGTACCTTGATTTTGAAACTTAAACAAGATCTAAATGTTTTAAAGTATGATTTTTAAATAACTTTTTAGCAAAAACAAAAATGTTATTAATATAAAATTCATCTCTCTCTCTCTCTCTCTTTTTTTAAACCTAAGCATTTTTCCTTGTGTATTATTGAAAAGAAAATACACTTGTATGCCAGTTTTAACATAAAATTTACTTTATGCTTTTTACAAAAAAAGTTTTAAAAAATATTCTAATCTTTATTCTTAGGTACTTGGTTTCATCTCTAAAACTATCATCCGCTTCCCCCAAAAAAGTATGAAATAAAAAATATGAAGGATATAGTTATATTTATTCCTTCTTAAATGATTCAATAGATTATACAAAAAATAAAACATAATAATAATCATTGTGTTAGATAAAAAAAATCATGTTAGATTAAACAACAGACATGAAATAAAAAATGACATTTAGGATAGCACAGAACATTTCACTTACTTCTGGAATTCTGAAATGCATGTGATGCCACATGAATTCTAGTCAGATACGAAACTAAGTGTTGCCTGTTTGCTATTTATTGCACCATTTTGCACTACCTCACAAGCACTCAACAGACTGAGCATAAAACCTAATGTCAGGATTAAAAAAAAATGACAAGATTGATTTTCTGTGAAATGTTTCGGATTCCAAACAGAAAAATCCATTGCAGTGAGAAAAGAAAAACTGTGATTAGATGAAAAAGTTGGTTGCACGAGCGATGGTTGTATAGACAGTTATTGTTAAGAAAGAAGCCAAACTAAACTGGCAGTGTTTGGCACCAAGAAAATGTGCCAAAACCAGAAAGTGCTAAGTGCTTTAATGGAAAAGTAATACTATATCCAAATTACCAGGTTTAAAAATACGCTCTTACTAAATTTGTTTGCAATATATATAGATAGATAGATGAAGTTAGCATCAAAGAGTCAAAATATTATCAACCATCTGTCATATGGTAGATGATTCCTAATATTTTGACTTTATATTTGACTCTGATTTTGTTTATGCAGTTTATGGACTGCTTTTGTAATGTTGAGGAACTATCTAATTTTACACAAGGATTTTGCATCTAGTGATAAATATAAAGGTTTTCTAAACCAACTTCATAAATTTGGAGTTCTTAAAAGTTTTTTTTTTTTTTTTTAAATTTAAGAATGTCTTTTTTCATTCACAGTTATTTGTATTTTCTGTTTTTGTAAAAATTAAACATTTCATTAAAATCTGATATTTTGTTTTCATAAAATAATGGCAACCCCTCAGTGAAATTGTCATAGCATACCACTAGTCAGTTATTATTAATCATTAACAAATTAAATTCATGTATGTTGTCTTTTACTGATAATTAATTAGTGTTTGAATAAGAGCAAGTGATGATTTTTTATTCTTTTGTGTTTTTAAAACAAATTGAATATAATATGTGTATTAAAAAACCTTTGTATTATTTGCCTAATTAAAAAAACAGTATAATTTTGTTACAGTTAACATGTTTTCCCGCATATTTATGTATTACTGTTATGTCTGGAGTTTGAGAATAAATCTGTAAAGATTGATATTTAAATGTTTGGTACTATTCGGTTCCAAGGGCTGTAAAAAATCGCCAAACTATTGTTGATTCCAATGCTGCCAAAAATAATTGTGGCAACCCTAATAATTGCGGCAAGAAAGGAAGTATAATAGTAAATAACTATCTAAGATTGATGTTTTAATTTAGATGAAAGGTTAATTTCATATAATACTTTTTTATTATTATAATTTATATGAAAAAGGCTAAACATGACTGAATGGAAGCATAAGAGTAAATAACTATTTCAGATCATTATTATAATTTATATAAAATTTGCTAAACATAACTGAATGGATGCCTGCATCGCTATTTCGCTACCAACTTATTGCTAAAGCATAATTTCATCACGTTGGTTGTTCAAACGTAATTTTCTATAATGAATGATGCCTTTTCTTTGAAAATATTCAGAATCAGAATTCAGAAGTTCAGAATCGCTCACTTATTTGTTTGCCGCTTTTTACAAGGGTAAAAACAATTGGATTTTGGTCAATTATTTTATTTTTTAAATGAAAATAGGTTGATGTGTACATAGATAAAGTCAAGGGAGTGCGCAGTGCTATTTTTGTGCAATTCTGGGATTTTTTTTTCAAGTGAAAATAGGTCAATGTGTACATGGATACCGAGTATGTGCAATTCTTAAAAACGCGTCAAGCAGTGAGTGATTCTACACTTTACCCAAAATTCTATTGCCGACTTTTCATCATGGGCAATTCCCAAATTGTTAAATTCATAGGATATCAAAAAAGGATTTAAAAATTAAATTATTATTTCAATGGCGTCTTAAGAAATATAGAACTATATAAACTTAATGCATGTTAAATAGGCATGTTTGATAGATTTGGCACTTTTGCGCATACATTTTCGCTGCAATTTTTTTACGGCCCTCATAACAGAAGAGTACCAAATGTTATAACAGTAAAATATCTTGAGGCTTAATTTCAGTACAGTGATAAATTATTTTTCAAAAAATTTGCAAATAAATAAGTGCTTCTAATTTTTTTTAGTCCAAAGGGGCTTTGTCCCTGAAGGACAGTTTTCATTTTGCATTGGTTCACTATAAATATCCATTTCAATTTTCAAAAATTTGAAATTTGGAATTTATATTATTATAGATTTCACATTTTGTAAAACTTTAGCGAATTTTTGATTAAGAAACTCAAGGATTTCAAAGCGAGCAATGGCAACGTTGTACAGAAAAAACATTTTTATCTCTAGCGTGCGAGACTCTGTATCGGAAATTCTAAAGATATGCTCAATTTTGTGATATTGCTGTTGAACTGAATTTTATGGTTTAAGTGCGAAGAACGTAATATTTAATAAATAAAGTTAACAGATAAAATGTTAAAAAAACATCCCTTTGGATGTAATTTAAAATCTGAAGCCTTTCAGATTTTCTTTTCTTTTTTATTTATTATTTTTTTAAATAGAAATCTCGGGTTTCTACATTATGTGTGTACAAAGATGTTAGTGGGATATTTACTACTATACCAAAACAAGAACCTGATGAAGCAGTGCCATTGTCACATCCTGTTGCTCCTGCTGTTAGCATCAATGATGTTATTAAGATGAACCCAGAGTAAGTAACAAAATTGGAATATATGTATATCATGACATCAACTGATTTATTTGTGTATGTCTTTGCTTAGAAGCATTTCATATATACTGTTGTATTTTTTAAATCTTCCCGATTTAATTTAGGGCTAATTGTAAAGCATATAATTTTCTCTTGATTTTGATTTAAAAATTGTTGCTTTGAAAGAAAACAAAATAGTTTAAGATGCTTATTCCACTCAAGTGATCCTGAGAATAGGTATAAGAACAGAATCATATAATAATAATATTTTAGTATTATTAAATACTTGGGTAAGGTTTTTTACTACTGTTGAAAATTTAGGTATGATGTAATACTTTTTTCTCTCATCAGAACTGCCTTTATCAGTGCAATGTCCTGCAAACTTCTGTTTGAAAACTAGAGTTTATAATTTTCTCTTATTAATAGATGGTGATGTTCTCAATAAAGGCTATATGTCTTTTAGAGTCATCCAGTTTATTGGGTTAGAAAAGTTAATTGACTTTTTCTATCTAAGAAATGAAAAAATTGGGAAGTTTAAAACAGAAAATATCTCTTCAATATAAATAGCATGTAGTATTTTTGATTGATGGCTGGAGAATTTTTAAAGTCAAAGTGTAAATATTTTTTCTAGACTTCAGTCTTCTGGTATACAAAATAATCATATTCTTAGTAAATGTATCTGAATGTTGTTGGGAAGTTTGCATTCCCCCTTACATCTGTGCAGTGCTGAAGAGAGTAAGTTCTATATAATCCTGTAGTGGAAGCCAAGACTATTTGTCATCCTGACGTGGCTATCCGGGGCATGTGGCATCCTGGTTATAGACAAGGCCAGTAGCCATGATTCTGTCTGGAATGGTGCAGCAATTTGATGCACCGAACCTAAGTTTAGAATTATTGCTAGGCTGTCAGAAATAGGAGTATCAATTTAGCAGAGTGTCCTGAACAGCATTTACTATGAAGCAATGCACAGAAATGCAGCCAAGTACTTTCTGACTTAATGTAATAAAAAAGTAGATACAGTACAAAGTCTGTAATCCGGAATGATCTATAATCCGGACCTCAAAGCTACAAACTTTATGCGCATGCGTAAACACATGATGCGTTTACGCATGCACGTTTAATGTATAACGGACATTATAAGCTAGGCTAAAATTATCTAAGGTATTTCAGTTAATGTTGCAGATTGTGCTGTTCCTTAATCTTCTAATTGGATCTGGCTTATTATTTTTTGCAGACTGTTAGAAAATTTTTATAAAAATCAAGCTTGAACTTTCGATTATGTCAAAAAGAGTTTCCAATTCTGGAGCTGCCAAAGGATCTACAAAGCAAAAGCATGTTTCGATGTCCATTAAACAAAAAAATTTTTGATACCCTTTAGGTCATAATTGTTCTTTATTTCATAAATTATGATTTCATATTTTTAATTGTATAATTTCTGCATGCCATCGCACCAAATTTAAATTGATGATCGGAATCGCCGAAGTCTCGACAAGTCCGGATTACGGACTTTATACTGTGTGTGTATATATATATACATATATATTATATAATGCAGGAGTTTATCATTGCCAATTTTATACCAGCAAAGTATTCACAAAGTTATGCATTGTATGTTTTTTCTCACATGTCACAGATTGACATTCCCAATTCCTTTATTTTGTAAAGCTCAAGGAAAACACCCTTGTTGAATCCTTTTTATCTTGCTTACATCAAGTATACTCCTTTAGTATTAAAAAAAACTAAACAAAAAATGTAAATAATGTTTGTAAAAACATCTTAAATGATGCTATTGGTTAATTAGGTAAGCTGAAAAGTAAACCAAAAGTTTCATGAAATATAGCCGATTTCAAAATGGATGATGTTGCTGAAGTTTTAGAAATTTTGAAAATTTCCAGAAATATGTTTCCAGCCACATTAGTATTTATTTATTTTTAGTGTTGTTATTGGTACAACATAGTATTACATCACCAGCATGCATTATGTAATTTTAAGTAATGAAATGCATTTATTTCTGTCTCTCTAAAATTCTTAAGATGCATTTCACATATTCCCTTGCGGCTTGTGTAACTTTCTGTACGTATTTTGTTACTTAATTTTTCAATCATTGGACATGTGAATCTCCTTGAATACTTTTCATTGGCAGTTATCCTTTAACTATCTTAAATTTATAATATGATCCTTTGCCCCAATATGTTCTTTTAACTTTCCTTCAAAAAAAATTTTTTTTATATGATTCTGAAAATGCTTTTGACTCACCTTCCTCCAATATTCCTGTACCAATCATCTTATACTTGCAAGTATTTACTTTGCAGTGTTTGACCAATCAGATGGTTCTTCTGATTGTGTGATTGTGACTTTCCTTTTACAGCCTATGATTATTTCAGTTCTATTTGGATCTTTACATAGACTGTGAAATGCATACGAATGGTTTTAATGCTAGGCTTTATTATGGGCAGTTGTTCTTAGGTAGGCTTTCATTTTGCTCCTCAGTCTGCCCATGAAATGTTTGCCTGAGTCATCAAAGTGTCAGAAAGCTTTAGAAGATAAAAATTACCAGTTCTTCCCTTTAGTAATGTTGTTTTTCAAACAGGATTATTGAAACATGTTCTAACACTATAACTTGTTTAAACAAGTGATTTTCATTGTTGTATAGTTACCACTGAGCAAAGATAATTTCACCCGGATAAATTATGGCCTGTAAGATATTAATTTAGTACTTTAACAGCCCTTTATGAAAATGGTTGTCACAACAGACATGCTATGTTTTATGAGTATAAAAAAGGCAATAATGCAACTAATGCTTCCAAAATATATCATACTGTTTGGTAAAAGTATTTTCAGTGTTCACAAGTTCCAATTTGTGAATTTTCGTGAAGCAGCCTTAGCTCAGAAGGTGTCAGATGCTTAGAAGTGCATCTCCTTTTTCTTTTCTTTTCTTTTTTTCTTTTCTTTCTTTCTTTCTTTCTTTCTTCTTTTTTTTTTTTTTTTTTTTTTTTTTGTTTTGAGAATGGTATATTGAAAGCTGCAATTAAAAAATCTGTATACATCTACTAAAAAGCTGCAAAGGAGTTGAATTCTTCATCAACAACTGTCCATTACCATTTGAACAACAATGGAAGTATGTTTAATCTAGACACGTTGTTCCACATAAACTTAATGAGAATGTATGAACCAAGAGGAGTATATGAACATCAGCACTACTGTATATTCATAACATACTATCAACATTACATATTACATTTAGCATTTGGTGGTTCAAAGCTTACAAAATTTCCTTGAAGGAAAAGAATGAAATTCCCATGAGGCACTTGAAATGGACCTTTAAAACTTAAACTACTTGATTTCTTAAAGAAAGACAAAAATGGCCTATCACGTGCTTGCAAGAATGTTAATGATTCAGATGGTAAATATATAATTGATTAGATTAGTGTCTTATTTATTTTCTTACACTTCAAAACTTGCTTTCAAAAACAGCATTACTTATGGGATGACCTGATATTTTTATTGAGCCAGTATTTATAGCCAATGCTTTATTGTTGATGCAAGCAATAGCTTCCTGTCTTTCTGCTGAAAGAAAATTTGCTGAAACACTAATATCATATATTCAATTTTTATCATGATGTTGGCCATATCTGTTCGAATGCCATACATTGTTGATTTAGCATGTGTCTGTGAAATACAGTATCCATAAAATCCTTATGTAGCCTTTTTACAATTTTTGGTTGAGGCAATAGGCATATACTTCTCTGCTTATAAAAATGATTTAAATGATACAATTATTCATGTTTGAGCATTTTAAAATTAAACAAAAAAATCAGTTTGTAAAAATTGGGACGTTTAACTTTTTATATGTCTTGTCTGTTCCTGTACTTGTATTTAGTAAAAATTTATACTTATTCTGAAAATTTTAACACAAAAAGTTTGTCTTCCATACTACAAAAACTTGACTGAGATATTTAAGTGTAAAATCTGAGATCATTTTTAGAGGTAGTGCATAAATTGAAAGGTGTATCCTTAAAGCATTTGTATATAACTAAAACAGGTATGGCCAACATCATGATAAAAATTGAATATATGATATTAGTGTTTCAGCAAATTTTCTTTCAGCAGAAAGACAGGAAGCTATTGCTTGCGTCAACAATAAAGCATTGGACTATAAATACTGGCTTAATAAAAACATCAGGTCATCCCATAAGTAATGCTGTTTTTGAAAGCAAGTTTTGAAGAGTGTAAGAAAATAAATAAGACACTAATCTAATCAATTATATATCTGAATCATTAACATTCTTGCAATCATGTAATAGGCCATTTTTGTCTTTCTTTAAGAAATCAAGTAGCTTAAGTTTTAAAGGTCCATTTCAAGCATTTGTATATAATTAATCATGAAACATTATGATACAGTTGTTACATATTTCCAACGTCATTCTGAATAGAGGGCGCTGTGTTCGTCCCAATAGTCAGTGGGACGAACACACTAAACTAGTTAAAAGAGTGCAGAAGCTCGATGAAGCTGTCGAAAATCCAAGTTCATTATCAGAATTACTGGAAGTATTAGAGACGAAGGAGCAGTTCAGAAAAGTCATGATTTAAGAGTTGGAGGCACTCATAGACGAGTTGGAAAAGTTTAGAAGTGAATTAAAAGGTACGGAAGAATACGATGATAAAATATTGTCTGCTAAAGAGCAAAATTAAAGAATTAGCAGCTGAAAATGTTCAGCGGACTTCTTCAGTTCTTAGTACATCTAGTGTTTCAGAAAACACCGTCAGGGCTTTAAAATTACCAAAGTTAGAAATTTCACGATTCTCTGGTGATTTTGGCAAGTTTATGGAATTCTTAAATTGTTTTGATAGCGCAATCGGTTCAAACAATTCAACTTACGAAAATTGAAAAATTCCAATATTTAAAATCTCTTCTTTCTGGTCCTGCATATAACGTTGTTGCGGGTTTTGAATTAAATGAGAAAAACTATGACTCCTGTCTTGAGCTTTTAAAACAAAGATAT